AATTATCCAACAAACAGTGGGGAGAAATAAGGAGTTTTGAGGCTAATGAACCTCTCAAAATTCTCTGCGCTTCTCCTCATGGGGAACATCCTTAACAGCCCTCACAGATCTTCTGTAGAATGAATCAGTTAGGTGTACATTCTGCTTGCTTTGTTATCTTTAAAACAATCAGATGATAACATATAAAGTACATACACATTAAGGTAATATAAACAGTCCCCTCTTTCTTACACATGTAAACAATTTTCATTTGGCGACTTAAATCCAACCAAAATTGAATGGTGCCAGTTCTTAACTATATCCCATAGGGTATTACTCTTGGTTTGTAGAGATATTTGAGCCCTTGCTGAACAAAACATTAATGATCAGCCAATAGAAACAAATTATAATAGGTCTCAGAAAATGTGTGTGTGTGTGTGTGTGTGTGTGTGTGTGTGTGATGTACTAATCTAAATTACCCATGTCTGGTCACTCAACAGTTCAAAGGGTCAAGTGACAGAATTATCAGTTTCAGTAGCGTGTGTGTTTGTGTGCATGAGTCTCTGGGAAGAAGATTTTACAGTAAAAGCAATGAGATCCTGCTGCCTTAATAACGGAAAATCTTCTGACGCTGTGCATAGCTTGGTCCAATAGTTTCAGCAGCAGGCAATGCTTTATAGCAGTCCGACTTTACCTTCAATAGCAAGACATGCTAGGGTGCATTTCAGAGGCCACTAACATATTCAGAAGAGGAAAAACACAGATAAGCAGAGCACTGTAATCTCCTGTTTGAAGCTGAGAATGAAGAATTCTCCAAAAGCCATGTTTCGTAGTTAATTACATTTTTCATTGCTCATTGCTCTTTTTTATAGGTGCTGTCGGACCCTTTTCCTGAATCTGTAATTCACACTCTCACACTTTCCAAAATGTGAATGAGTTTTTTGAAACTCCTATATGAATGCTTGAAAGAATTCTATATTCTCTCATCATTCTGATGGGAATTTTTCCCAGGAATTGTTTTACTGAAACCATAACATTAGAACTGTCTAGTAGCAGTATGTGCAGCCACTGACCAGTGGGGAAGGCAAGTGAGTGGTCTATTGAGCTATTGAGCAACAGAGAACTACATTCAGCCCTTCTAGGCCACAAAGAGCTTTGCTGGCTGCCATGTGAAATCTTTAAGTATGGTGGGTATGGAAATCCCAAAGGAACTCAGAAATTCAAAAACAGGATGTTATGGATATATTTACTGTACCTTGGGCACCTCCAAGCTAATATCCAAATGCTACTCATGTAGGGCAGAGATTTCTTCATTCCACACATGCATTAACACCATGCTTTTTCACTTAAAGCTTCAAGTAGCATTTAGCTCCATATTTATATTTACATGTCTGTGCTGTAAACCCTACAGGACGATAACATTACAAGAAATATTTGCCACACCATTGGCAGCAATGAATTCCCAACTGGGAAATCCAAATTTGCAAACTCAGTATTCTGGGCTATCAGCCAAGACTGTCTGGGTGCGCTGCTGAGGTGACACATTCAGTCTCCTCAGAGGGATGCCAGCTGCAACCCTGGCACAGCATTTTCTCCTGACAAACTTATGGAGCGGAACTAGTACCAACTCCAGAGGGATATGCAAGCTGGTTTCTTAGCTTCTTTGGCAACAACAGCGTTTTCAAGTTGTGACTGTAAAGTCTCCTAATTACAAGGACTGTTGTTTGTGGTACACTTTGCTCTCTGTTTGGTGGTATTTTGCTAAAATGATTGAAGCACTTTAGTTTCCAAATATAAACCACTATAATCCAGAGTAAGCAGAATACTAGACCCAAATATACAGCAGCTCATCTATAAAATGTAGCTTCCACTGTCAAAAAATCTAAATCTATTTGTTAGAATAGATTTGGAGTTACCAAACAGAAGTCCACATACTTGTTGTGTGGGACTGATATCTAAATCTCCATCTCTCTCTTGCCTTCCACTCACAGCTAGGTGTCTCTAATGGTCCTTATTACTTTTCTAAAGTGAAAGAGAGAAAACTGTCACCTAAAACCCCTCTGATTTTCAACAGGTCTATATCTCTCTCATGCTACTTGCATATAAATTGCAAAATCCACAAGAATCCAGACGATTACTATCAAAATTGTGTCACCTACAGATGCATATCAGGCAGACCACAGACACTGACCATTGTAAATTACAGTTCACTTTCTCTCATTCTGAATAGTGGCAGCATTCAGATAAGTTATTGCTATAGAGGAAGATACAAAGAGAGGATTTCATTTGAGTATCTTTTGTTGTGCTTAGTGGGGAATCTGGTACCTCATGTGTAGTATTCGTTCTGGTTGCATAGAAGAGCCCTACATATATTTGGAATACATATATATGTATAAATATGTATATATTTATATACATGGGATGACAAACGGCGGCGAAATCCACTCACCAGTCCTGCACCGCGCACGCGTCAGACCCGCATTGTGCATGTGCATGCCGCCGGTGAACAGGGCGACCAGCTGAAATCTACTTGCCACGGGCAAGTAGATACACTGATTTGTTGAGCCCTGTTTATATATGACCTGCAATGGAAAAAATATATCGTTTGCATGCTTTGTTTGCTTCTTTATGATTTACATAAATGGCAAGAAATGTGTTTTATAGTTTTAATAAATATTCACAGGTGGGGTTCTTGATTTTACTTTGGAAATTCAGATATACAGTAGTTTGAGCTGGAAGGTTCTATGACAAACTAATGAAATGACATCATTAGTGTCCGGAAAGTAAATATTCAGCATCTGAGAAGAGAAAAGCCATGTGATCAGCCTGTTTAAAATGCTATCTCTCTCTTCTTCTTTGTCTTTTTTATTAACCCTGTAACTTTGATGTTTATTGAACATTCTGGAGAAAGGATGTCTTTGTTAAAGGTTCAGTACCCTGACCTGTTCCATTAAGGTGTAAGAACTGATCAAATTAATCCTCTGAGACATCCAATACATTTTCTAGGACAATTAAAGTTGATGTTCATGAACATATTTCTAAAGGCATAATAATGAAATAAAAAATAAAATAAAATCTCACATCTTTCACACATTTTACTATATCATAAAAGGTTTTTTTAAAGGTCACAAGCCCAACTTAAAAAATATTTTCAAGTCACCATTTACACATGAAACATCTGTAAAAAGTATCTTAAAAGGGAACGTTTCCTCTTTGTGTTTCCATCACTTTGAAATGGGATAGTTAAATTAACTGGCTGAGCAATTGCTACTAGTCACATCAGATACATCAAAAGAAATACAGTTATCACAATATTTCACATATGTTAATGCTTACAGTTCCATCAGTGTCAGCTTTATTTTTTTATATATGTATACCAAAGCTGGCATATAATTGTAACTGATGAGGTAATGTCATTTTTAATTTAAAGAGCCTTATGCTGACCACTTTAACTAGTGATATCATCTTTGCTGTTGTCTCATGGGACTTCATGTAAACATAAGTCATGTGCCCTAAATAGTTTGTATCAGGGTTGTTAAAAGTGATTTTGGTCATCATTTTTTTCTTGGGCCTCTTTAAAATTGCCAGATGCAGTTTATATTGCTATTTTTTAGCCATTTTTGGTATATTAATGTATCTCAGGACATTTCAATGCATGTGATAGAAGAATAAAAGGCTAAAGCAAATTAACTGCATCATTTTAATGTCAATTGTAACATATATAATGTTGTAAGAAACAAATGAAGTTGTCTGGCTAACAGCAACTTGATGACTAAAAAGGCAATATGGATGACACACCTATTAATACATCACTGCAGGCAGACAAAAGCTTTCCAATGTCTCAGCCTCTTTATTATTAAAAATGGGCCCAAAACACAATGGGAGTACAGAGTACCATCAAATTTTAGGAAAGGTTGAATCTGGTTCTGACAACTATACCCTGTCTCCACTAGGGACTGACACAAATCTCCAGAATCATCCACCAATGAACCATTGAAATCTTTGACTCATGGCCAAATCCTACATCTCAAGCCTTTCTTGATTATTTTTCTTTCTAATAAGGCTCAAGCTTGCCTGTTAATGAGCCTCCTCAACTCTACTGAAGTCAGCTTTGCAGGATCAGGTCTTTGAAGATGACATCCTAGTTTACAGGACAGGGAAACATCATAGCATCACTACTGTCCCGAGGCAAAGATTTGCTATTAATCATTATTGGCAGATTTTTAACTCCACTGGTAATGCTTAGAGGAATCAAGCAGATATACAAAAGTTAAGGACCTGCTCCAAAGAGTTCAGTGATCATATGCTGTACAAATATGAATGTTATAACACTTCATTTAAACCAACTCAATTTAAATATCTAAACAAGGATATCATGTAAAAAAAGTTTTGTCTGAAGGAAATCGAGTGTTCTAATTAAAGTGTGGATTGTAAGAATTGTTCCATTTCTGCCCAACTACATGAAAAATGACAGGTTTTCTGCCAGTGGTCTGGAATGTAGTGAAGTTTTGAACTAAATCAAATGTTTAGGGATTCATTTATTATTCTGTGGCCATATATTTAGAGGGTAGTGTACAGAAATCAAAGTATTGTTCAGAGAGAGCGCCAGCCAAAGAGACATTTTGAATTCATAACAGAACTTCACAGTTTGAAAAGAATGCTATGCATTATGTATTGATAACACCACCATAGACAAAGGAGCACAATTTAATAATACAGAATTGTGCTCATGAGATTTCCTTTTTTTTTTTTTTTTGTTAATTGGTTACTTAAGCTGACATTGTCTGCAAGCATAATGGACGCCATTCTTCCTAATAGTTCCATGTTGCCAGATGATGTCTACAGACATGATGTAGTCCATTTTAATTATTTCATTTTGCTTACATCTCTCAGCATAATGCAGTTTCCAAGCAGGCTAACATTTTTCTTGATTATCTATGTAGTGTAGCAATGGTTTCTAAATTAATTAAATCTCTTTCTTTCCTGGAAGTTTAAGTTTTTTTCTTCCATTTATCCATCAGGTATGATTACGTTGAAGTGATTGATGGAGATAATGCAAATGGGCGTGTATGGGGAAAGTACTGTGGAAAAATTGCTCCTGCTCCTCTGGTGTCTTCAGGACCATTTCTCCTTATTAAATTTGTTTCTGATTATGAAACTCATGGAGCAGGATTTTCCATTCGCTATGAAGTTTACAAAAGAGGTGAGCAAATGATCTATTATTATGTAGCACACAGTCCATGGTTTTGGTTTTGATTTCCATGGATTTGATTTGGATTTGAAAAAGTTTATCATAGTTCTTGAGAACAAAGGGAAGGCTACGTCTTTTGGAAAGTCAAGAATTTGGTTGTAGATTAATGTTTTATTGCTAGTATCCTCCATGTGCAAGGGCAGGTTGTCAGCTGGTGTAAATAACCATCGCTCCAATGCATGCGCTCCAGCCGAGGATCTACATCTCTGAATGCAATCTGATAGCATTCAGCAGCATGTTTTCTACAATATTGTTTATTTAGATTTTTTAATTGTTGGTTTTCTTTCTTTGTGTTGACTATCATCCTGTCATTTATAATGTTTCCACCTTATCACACTGTAACCTTTGTAGTCCCTTGCTTATTTGGTTAGTGCTTTGCTTTGCATTCCCCAAAGATACCCATGGGCTCAGAATGGACCTGGCTACACATGGCCAGCAGATGATGGAATGATCAGAATGGTGTCACTTTCACTATTTGTTTTTTGGAGGCAGAGGTTCACACTGCTTTCAAGCTCATTCTGGTGGCTGACTATAGAGGCGCTTCAGTAAAGGCCATCAAGCATGGGCAGCTGTATGTGCAGAAGAAAACATCTGGGAGAGAAGCTGCCAGGATTAATAGGCTCAGAAAAAGGCCCTACTCTGATCAGCTCATTTGCTGAATCACTTTCTGTAGGATGGTGAGATCATTTTTTGGCATACACCTTAGCTGTAGTTGGAGGGAGATAGATAAATCACACATTAAGAAGCTAGGAGGCCCCATAGCAAAACTGGGTAATAAAGGCATAGATATACAAAGAGTGTTACTTTATAGGAACCTTTGACAGCATAAGCATTTGGTGCTAGATTTTCAAAGTCCCCAAGCTCAGAATTTCAAGTGCTCAGCACCTTTAAATGAGACCGCATTTTCAAAAAGAGTTCCTATTTATGCACCTGAATCAGGGCCACATTTTAAAATGTGCTTAGCACCCATCAGCCCCTACTGTGACTCCAATGGCCAGATTTTCAAAATAATTCAGACAAAGGTGCCATTTCGGGCAGGTGGGGGAGGGGGAGGTTGCAGCTGTGCGCTCTGGGATGCAGCTTGATTTTCATCCCATTACCTGGATGCTAAGGGAGTGAGGGGAAAGTGTTTGCATTCTTTGCATGCCTGTTACACCTGGTGCGTGAAGGCTGCTCACCATCCAGGTGTGAGAGGAATACATGGAATGCACACACTTTCCCCTCACTCCCTTAGCATCCGTGGCACGGGATGAAAAGCAAGCTGCATCCCAGAGCACACGGCTGCTGCTGCCACCACACACCCAAAATGGCACCCTTGAATTCAGCATCAGATGAGTTGAGCTCTTCTGAAAACCAGCCACTTATTCAGGTGCCAAAATGGGGGCTTAGTATTTTGAAAATCTGTTCCTTAGATTTTTAGTGCTTGCAATTACTAAACTTTCCTCTTTAAAAGGAATTAAAATGCAAGTACAAGAAAAAGCAAAATGCAAAAATGACCTGTGGAAACAAGCTCTTTTTGAAAATGAACATTTTCAGATGAAGACCTTTTTCATGATAGTCCAGAGATAACACTGTGTGTGAACAAAAATATTGTATTTATTTCCCCATGTGGTCATCAAGGTTACGTCTAGACCACAGGCTTTTATTGACAGAGACTTTGTCGACACATAGTGTTGACAAAACCTCTGTTGACAAAGAGCATCTAGACTACAGCCAGTTCTGTCGACAAAGCAAGCTGCTTTTTTGACAGAGAGTCCAGACATTCTCTTTTGAAAAAGCACAGTGTGGATGCAATAGCTCCTTTTTTCGACATTACTCTGTCGAAAAAAGGTATTATTCCTCACAGAGGTTTACTGCCGTCTGAGGTTTACCACCGTTGACAAAACTGCCATGTTCTGTCAAGTTACTGTCGCCAGAACTCGGTGGTAATATAGACACAGGTATAGTTTTGTTGACAAAAGTCCACTTTTGTCAACAAAACCCTCTAGTATAGACACACCCTTAAATCCCACACCGATAAACATTAATTATGTTAAGGTAATATTACAATCAACATCTAACATAAACAAAAAAGTAAGGACACTTAAAATTATGACTCCCAAAGAAGCTTCAAAACTGGCTCCTGCTATCTATACTTAAATTAAGGCACACATCATCCCATCTACAGAGGTGGGAAATGTTACATATGCAAAAAGGTTATGAGTTACTGTTGCTACAGAAACACAGATACTGAATTTCCTGACCTTTGCACATTTAGTATCTCCCAGATAATATTAAATTATTGTTTACATTAAATGCATAGTCTACATACCGAGTAAATGAATAGTCAAATAAAGCAAATGAGTATATCCTATTATGTAGATACCTACTAATATGACAAACTCGGCCTTATTAGTCAGACACCTGCCATAAGACATTCTTCCAAGCTACACAGACATGAAAGGAAATATCAGATGAAAGATCCAGTATAATATAAATGGCATGTGTGATGCCAAGCTTCAGTGCAATACACATAGGGACAGCCATGAACAACACTTTGAAGGCATCCCTTAACTTGTTAAAGCTGTGTTACCCCACCTGGATCACATGGATAGGGCTAATTTTGATTGCTCAATCCTAAACAAAATCTCACTCAACAGCAGTCATAGAGAAGATTTAGAAGTGGAGTCCAAAGCTTTAAATATGACAAATGGGGTGAGCAAGAGAGTGGTGTTGGGAGAGGAGGTGCTGCCTGTAGAGTTGCCAGGTGTACGGTATTGGCCCGGACAGTCCGGTATTTGCAGCCTCTGTCCATTAAAAAACAAAACAAAAACAGAAAATACCGGATATGTAAAATGTCCAGTGTTTTCTGTTTGTCTTGGACATTCTTCCCCTGCTGCGTTTCATGGGGAAAGGGAGAGCGAAGTGTGGGGATTTAAAGGCGCTCGACTCTTTTTTTTTTTTTGTGCAGTGGTTTCTTTTGTTATTGCTCAACCAATTTTTTCCCCGCCATGTTCGGTATTTTTTTATCTGGCAACCCTAGCTGCCTGATAACCAGGATCCCAAACTAAGGCCTGGCTGAATAGAAAATTAGATCAGCTTAACTATGTCAATCAGGTATAGCTGTCCCTTGGGTAGGGCGAATTCGGGCAATCACTGGGGACTCTGCATTTTTGGGGAGGGGTTCACAGGTCAGTGCCTCCCTCTCTCTCCTAGAACTTACTACTTGTTGCAGAGCAGTTGTTTTGTGGCATCAGAAGGTTCTAGCAGGAAGAGGAGAAGAGCGAGGGAATAACGCACTAAAGGAGAGGAGCAGAGCAGGAAAAGGTGGCGAAGAGGCAGGGTAAGGACAGGGTAGGGCATTGGGGGAAGAGATGGAGTGGAAATGGGATCTGGGCAGAGCTGGAGAGGAACTTGCCCCCCTCCCCCAACAGATTAGAGACACTGGTTGATTTGGCCCATGCCTCACAGCCCTGCAGTCAGGAGTGTGAAAATCCACACTGCTAAGGATTATTTTTAAGCCAACCTAGTTTCCCATTACACATCACTAGTTTGATGAAGAATTATTCCACCAACCTAAATGATACCTTTCACGGAGGCAGATTAGCTATGCTAATGGAAAAAACCCCTGTTGCATGCCTCCACTGAAGGGCTATGCCTACAACTGTGCAGATGCAATATGTCAAGTATAGACAAGCCCTAAGAAGCCAAGTGTAAACTCTGAAATGAAGCAGTGAGTCAGGTGGGATGGAGACCTATGCTAAAAGACATACTCTTCCCAGGGTTGAGCAAATAACTTGGAAGTGGGTAGCAGAGACCTCTGGTTAGAGAGAGAGAGAGAGGGTATGTCTACACTACCCTCCTAGTTTGAACTAGGAGGGTAATGTAGGCATACCGCACTTGCAAATGAAGCCCGGGCTTCATTTGCAAGTGCGGTATGCCTACATTACCCTCCTAGTTCAAACTAGGAGGGTAGTGTAGACATACCCTCTCTCTCTCTCTCTCTCTCTCTTTCTCTCTCTCTCTCACATGCACAGTCTCCCCAGCTCAGATCTGGCTATTCATTGGATGCTTCTGACAAAGCCTCTTTCCCCCTCCCCACATGTTTCCCCACATGTTTCACTTCATGGAGTTCACTACACCCTCAAAGCTAGTTTAACTTCTGTAGACCTTGTGCAGAGAAAATAAAGAATCAGGACCTACGGAGGGCATATTGGTGAGGGTTCTCATTTGAATGAATTTTGTGCCCCTTGTACCACATTGATTTGAAATTGCTCAGGATAAGCCAGGGACTCAGGTGTGAGGATAAGGACCTGCCTTACACTCCTGCGGGTCAGGATTTGACTGCTTATTTTTCATACAACAATAATGACAATGACTTACATTAGTTATAAAACCTTTTATTTATATTCTCATAAAGCACCTCACAAACAGAGTAAAGGCGTATATCGAAATTACTTCAGTGTGATACATCACCCATCAGGTAAAGAGTAGCAACTGTTTAACTGCAATAGTAGCACTATAGAACAGTGAGCAAAGGGAGTGAAGATGAATACTCCATCCCATGGAAACTATAGGGGAAATTTTAATTACAGGTAAAATATAATTTTTCGGATGAGAATTAGTGATGCCACTAGGGCTTTAATATTAGCATTCTTCCAAAATGTGTATGACACCTTTTAAAGATCACTGGTGTTCAGGTCCTAAAAATTAACATTTGGGCTGTGTCTACATTGGCACCCCTTTCCAGAAAAGGGATGCTAATGAGACCAGTTGGAATTGCAAATGCCGCGGGGGATTTAAATATCCCCCACAGCATTTGCATGAACATGGCTGCCGCTTTTTTCCGTCTCAGGGTTTTGCCGGAGAAAAGCGCCACTCTAGACGGGATCTTGCAGAAAATAAGCCCTTTTCCAGAAGATCCCTTATTCCTACTTTCAATAAGGGATCTTCCGGAAAAGGGCTTAATTTCCGCAAGATCCCGTTAAGCCCTTTTCCGGAAGATCCCTTATTCCTACTTTCAATAAGGGATCTTCCGGAAAAGGGCTTAATTTCCGCAAGATCCCGTCTAGACTGGCGCTTTTCTCCGGAAAAACCCCGAGCTGGAAAAAAGCGGCAGCCATGTTCATGCAAATGCCGCGGGGGATATTTAAATCCCCCACGGCATTTGCAATTCCGAAGTGTCTTATTAGCATCCCTTTTCTGGAAAGGGGTGCCAGCGTAGACACAGCCTTAATGTTTGTGTCTAATTGAGGACTGAAATAATGGCGCTAACCTTCTAGGTCAACCTATCTCCGAAATGTTGAACTTACTTAGAGGGGTACCAAATCAATATAAAGTACAGTGTTTTGCATCATTTTCAAAAGCACCAGTTCTTATGATGTGATAGATATTAATATGCATATGTATGCAACAGGCCAGATTATTTTCAGTGAACAACTTAGTGGTCTCCAACTTTTTTAAGTACAAGATCAGTTTTTGAATTTAAGTCAGTCCGGGATCGACCTCAAATCGAAATATCCTTGCTCCACCCCTTTGCTGAGGCCCCACCCTCCTCACTCTGTGAATTTGGGATACTGGAGATGGGGACAGAGAGATATCAGTGCCCCTTGCCTCTGTCTCCCTCACCCTGAACAACAAGCAGAAAGCTCCCAGGGGCATCTCTGAGGTTCTGGGCAGGAGCAGAATGGCAGTGCAGGGAGGGGCAGCTGAAGTGCCTGCCCTTGCTAGTCTTCCAGCCAAACCAATCAGGATCACCTGTCAGAGGCTCCAAGATCTACCGGTAGATCCCGTTATACTGGTTGGTGACTGACTTAGATTAAGGACATTTTCCAGGGTTCCCCTTGCTCACTTTGCTGCCATTCTCTTAGAGCAAGGCTTGGCAAAAGGGCCTCCATGGGCCAGATCCGGCCCTCCAAGAGGGTGAATCTGGCCTGTGGAGGCCCTGCCACTCCCCCGTCCCCAGGTCCTAATTGGCCTGGGGGTGGGGGGAGCGTGCCAAGCCTCCTCCGCTTTGCTTAAAAGCACCACGTGCTCCTGGCAGGATGGGAGAAGCTTTTAGACGGGTGTCCCCTCTGGCGCCGGGCTGCGCTGCCCTGGGAGAGGGTGAGCCAGGGAATGGGGAGGGAAGAGGGTCCTGACCAGACAGATCGCCAGCGCGGGGAAAGGGGCACAGCTGCTGGCGGGCTTTGTGCACAGGGTGGACTGGCCCACAGAGCTCTGTGCAGAAACAGGCGCAAATCCCCGCATCTGGCTACAGAGTGATCCTCTGCCCTGGTTGTCCCAATTCATAAGGAGTGATGCGCAGCTGGTGCTGCTGGTCCTCCACCTTCCCCAACCCCGCACAGGGGCTCCCTGGAAGAGCGAGTCACCCTGAGGCATGGGGCGTTTGTGGGGCACCTTTGAGTCTGGTGAGGGGGGTGATGATGCAAAGCTGGGCAAGACTGATTATGTCCCACCCTGTATGTGTACAGCCTCTTCCCTTCCAGACATTCCCTCTTGGTGGTATCCTAGGTCTGCACAAACCAGATGCAAAAGACCTTAGGTCCTCTAGTGCAAAGTCTTGTCCTCCCCAGGCCATGCTGATCACAGGCTTGATTGAGCCCCCTTTGCTTGCTACACTCCAAGGACCAGGGGAACCACTATACCCAGGGACCTTCCCGTTTTCCGAAGGAATAGTCCCATGTTTCTTGCGGGCTGCTTGGTGGTGGTTCTTATGGGGGTTTTTTTTAACTCTTGGTTGAACAGGGAGTGCATGTGAGACTGCCATGGCACACCTCAGTCCTGTTTGGACATGTCCTCCTTACTGAGTAGGCTGATGTTCACTGAGCTAAATGTTCTTAGCAAACTGCTGCCAGGACACATATTTGGTTCAGTGGCAGCATAAAGAACTAACAAAGTTACCAAGAGATGCACCAGAAAAGCCATTAATCAGAGAATCTTTTAGCCTAGGAGAGAGGCTGATGGGATATAAGTTTCTATGTTGGGAGGGAGGGATAGTAAGTAGCTTATGGCACAGGACAAAGACAGCTGTAGATTTAATAAGATGCAAGAGTCACTATGGGTATGTCTACACTACCCTGCTAGTTCGAATTAGCAGGGTAATGTAGGCATACCGCACTTGTAAATGAAGCCCGGGATTTGAATTTCCCGGGCTTCATTTGTCTAAGCCGGGTGCCGCCATTTTTAAATCCCAGCTGGTTCAAACCCCATGCCGCGCGGCTACATGCGGAATGAACTAGGTAGTTCGAACTAGGAAGCCTAGTTCGAACTACCTAGTTCGTGCCCCGTGTAGCCATCTCTCTGATGGGATTCATTTTGTCAAATCCCTTTAACCCAGTCCCTCTGCTGTTAGTGAGTTCACTCCCTCCCTATGGGAAATTTGGGGGGGGAAGTCACTCCCTCACCTCCAGAACAATCATTGTCTGGGGGTGGGGAACCCGGAAATATCTTGGCTCCACCCCTTCTGCTTGATGCCCTGCCCCTACCAGTGCAGCCCAGGGCCACTTGAAAAATTTCCAAAGTGGCCCCCGGAAAAAAATTATTGCCCACTCCTGTCTTAGGGTATGTCATTGCAGAAGGAGTGCCAGCTAATTCGAGTTAGGGCTTTAAGTCAGACTCCCATTTCACTGCTGCGTGTAGACGCGGGCAGTTACTCCGGGCTAGTGAATTTCTAAAATGGCAACCGACCGGGAACATGCAAATCAAGCGCAGGATATTTAAATCCCGGGATTGATTTGCAACTTCGGTATGCTTCATTTGCCTCCCTAATTCGAAGTAGAGGGAAAGTGTAGACATACCCTTAGGGAATAGGGCATCCTCATATGGATGTAATTGGTGGCTCAGCAACCAAAATCTGAACACTGCTCAGTAGTCATGCAGCACTGATATTAAGTGCAACCAGGGCCATCTACAGGTTTTTGTACTGGCTGGCTGTTGCCTGATCTTTACCTGATTCCGTGACACAACAGCTCCATCTGGGCTGTTACCAGACAGTCACAGTCCCTTATACTCCAGCCTTCCCCTATCCCACTCTCCATTAAATGCAGATGTAGGGAAGTGCCTCTGTTCATGTAACCCATGCTCTCTCCCTATCTAATGATGGCTAGGCCACTTAGGGTATGTCTGCACTAGCCCACTAGTTCGAACTAGGGTGGCTACAGTAGGCATTCGAACTTGCAAATGAAGCCCGAGATTTAAATATCCCGGGCTTCATTTGCATGTTCCCGGGCAGGCGCCATTTTTAAATCCCCTTAGTTCGAACTGACTGCCTGCGCCTACACGCGGCAGTCAGAAGTTAATCCGAAGTAAGTCCTTAGTTCGGATTAACTGTTACACCTCATTGTAGAATACTTCTAATACTCCAGTCATCTGAAGTTGATTGCACCCATGAAAGCCCACGATACCAACCACATGTTTTGTTAGTTTTTAAGGTGCTACTAGTCTATTTGTTGTTTTTTAAGCTTTTCCTGTTACAAACTTAACTCAGTTAACCCTCTGAAGCTTTTAATACATAGGTCCCATGTTTGGTCTTGATTACCAACAACTCATCTAGGAGGATTAGCAGTACACTAATCTGGTGAGAATGTTGTGTAGGCAGTTCCGCTATCAACATACCTGCATAGCTGGAATTCGGTGGGTTTCTAGGAATACAAGGAATGGGGAAATATGACATGCCAGCAAAACGAGTCAGGCAGATGTGCTGACCTGGCCTTTTAAATTCATCCCATTGTCATCCTCTGCTCAACCAACAACAGTTTTTGGAATACCAAATTAAGCCAAGACTGGTACTTTGGAGAAGGTTAATGTGTCAACATTGATATTAGGTGACTTCTAGAAACACTGCCCATAATCACACCGTTTATCATGCCTTCACTAACAGCAACACTTTACTGGTGCACCTGTGTCAACACCACTCAGAATGAGTCAGTCACCCTTGGTACATGTACGAATTACCTTTCACATTTAGTTTGTCAAAGAGGCATAGGTCACATCTGGCAGAGTTACTGAGTCACTGCTCTAGGAATCTGAAACCACTACTCCTTCTACTGAATTCACTCATCCGCTTTTGTAAAACATTCTGTTTCACCAATAAAAGGCTGTCAACCTTAAGATTTAAAGATTTAAGCTTGAAGGGGCTATAATTATTTCTCTGGGGCTCTGTCGAGATTTCTGCAGCTTACCCTTTCATTGTTCCCACATGACTTCGTATTTTTCACAATTTTTTTCTAGAGCTGGCATAAGTTTTCATATTGCACTGCACAAATTGAAAATTGGAGATCACACAATAAATGTGAATTACATTTTAATACCTATCAATAATAGGAACAAGCTGGCTGGATGATTAATATAGTGATTAAAATGAGGTGTTTCATTGAAAAGCCACTTTGCTGTTAGAAAGACAAAATGATCTAATTTGTTTTCTAGTTACCCAGCTTACTTTGTAGAATAGTGCTAAATTAAGCATTTTTCTTTATCACACAGGCCCTGAATGTTCCAGAAATTTCACTTCACCAAGTGGAGTGATAAAATCTCCAGGATTCCCTGAAAAATATCCAAATAGCCTTGAATGCACATACATTGTCTTTGCACCAAAGATGTCAGAGATTATTCTGGAATTTGAAAGCTTTGAACTAGAACCTGATTCAAATCCTCCAGGAGGAGCGTTCTGTCGATATGACCGACTGGAAATCTGGGATGGATTCCCTGAGGGTAAGAGAAAAATGAGCTGCACTATACAGGATTCATTACTCCACAGTGGGCTCCAGAAGGCATGTTGTCTATACAGAGATTTTCATTTGGTTTAAACAAAATCGGTTGACTGAAAGGGGGCGAGAAAATACACCTTAATTGTACACAAAACTGCACATGACTAGCACAAAACAATATGCATGATATTTTATAAACTGTCTTTACTATCAAAGAATTGGTTTGCAGCCACATTATGACCTCAAATACAATATTCAACTCCCGTTCATTTCACCAAAGACAGAACTGGACTTTCTGTGCTAAAATAATTTAGACAGTGAAGTCTTATGGTACACTTTGAGCACTAATTCAAGGGATACATGAGTACTATATGATGATATCCTGTAGTCTGCTGCTGCTGTTGTCTTGAGTTTACTGAAGTTTAACATCAGGTTTCCTTTAGGTTGAACACCTCCCCTTAGGGTGCACATATCAGAACTTGGCAGTCCTTAGGAATCGTACAAGCAGTAATGTGCAATCAGCTATTCTTGATGCCTTTTACAAGCTTTATAGCTGCTTATGACGGGCACAAAGAGAAGCATCTTTCAGTTGTCGTTTTTCCTCTGTATTTTATAACAAAGCCAAATACACCAGGATGGAACTTGTCTCACTGTGTTATAGTGTGGTAATGAAAGCTTTTCTGTGGGTGTGATAACCTGCTTTGAAGGATGTTTTCTTTGAGTTTATGAACAGCAATGAGTAGGTGTTTACAAAATGTTAATGCTGTCCAGTAATAACACTTTCATTTTAATGAAAATATTTAACATCTGAAACCCACTTTTGTTGCAAGTTTAAGGATGTATATTTCTCCACACAGATTTTTCATCACAATGGTATTTACACATTTGGGAAGCTGACATTTTCATAAAAGCTTTTGTTCCACAACAGTAAATGAATCTGATTTTTAATGTGTGTTTGTATATTTCCTCTTGTTTGGGGTGGAATAGGTCTGCTATGGTTCTCTTAAAAACTTTCCAGTAACAAGAGAAGAGTCAAACCAGTGGCTGACGGACTATTCGATGTTTAATTCCTCATTTAGGAAAACAGAATTGTAACAATATTATACCAATGTCTGGAAGATTTAATAATAGGTTTGTCTTCATATAGCCCAAATCTTTCCAGTCTAAATTCCTTTAAATCTTTAATTTAAATTGACACGCACAAAGAAGATCCAATCAACCAACTTATGTGGAATATTTTCAGAAAGAAGCACATTATTATCAATGTCAAGGGGTTTTCAAAGTGATTTTCTAGTTGAAGAAAATGATCGAGTCAACTTGAAGAAAAATTAACAAGTATTATTAGCCTTCCCAAATACCCATGGTTCTAAACTATGTTTGTCTCTCTTCTTAAGAAGCAGGGTTCCGTCATCTGATAAATATGTTTATCTATTTATAAATAATTTAGCTGCCCCTACTGTGTAGACAACATTGAATGTCTCCTCACATGCATTCTGTTGGGGGCAGTGATAGTTCTAGGAATGTATTTGAAACATCATTCATAGAAGAATAACTCTTCAACCAGCAGAGTTTATTCTCCTTTCTTATTCTATCACAATACAAGTATAAATGCTGAAGCTATTTTTGCTATTGAAATAATTATGATTTATTTATATTGAAGCACATTTTAGTAACCCCAGTAAGACCCCATTATTCTAGGCTGTGAAGTAACAAAGTAGTCTCTGCCTCCAAAAGTCTAGGTAAACAACAAGCCTCTGCAAACAGATGAGAACAAACACATATAGATTTATATGGTATTTTTAACATAGGCATTATCTGAAAAAGATGTTTGGGAAAACACAGTAATTGCAATAGTACGGACATAACTCCTGCCCTTTAGCAACGTATGCATGGTTTGTTTTGCATGTGAAAGCAAAGAATTTGAAGTGGGTTAACATAAATTTTTATGTAATGTTATTGAACAGTTTCATGGGAAATATTTGTAGCTGTAGCCATAGTTCCAGGTTTAAGAAGGCAGCTGCCTAGGACCTCATGCAGAAGAGGATATCAGAATGGAACTAAGGCAGTTTATGGATCTAGAGCAGGGTGGAAACCGGATTCTCTGTTTTGCAGTAAATTCAGTAATATAATTTTTTGTTAAGTTTGAAAGGGAACAATTTGAAATTTCCCATCAAATGAAATGTCAAAAGAAGTTTTGGTTTGGGTCATGCCAAACATTTCATTTGGATAAAATTCCAGAGTTTCACAACACTTTCAGTGTAGTACAACATAGTATAAAATAGTATGCTATTGTAAAGAACTGAAATATAAAGTTGTTTCAATGGAAAATTAACATGAGCCAAATAATATTTTGACCATGTCATAATGCTCCATTCTGGGTTTTTTTTTTTTTTTTTTTTCAAAATAAAATGCAATTGAAATGAATATACCTGTGAAATATTTAGCTTTTGATTACTTGGTATTTTCCAGTGGAAAAGCCTTCCATTGGAATTTTTGACCAGCTTTAATGCTTACTCTTGCATAGTTTAGTCTCAGAGGCCTGGTCTACACTAAGACCTGAGTCTGAAATTAGCCCTTCAAGGTTGATTTTATAAGTGATGCATCCACACTACCAAGCCCATTATTCCAGTATAAGGGGCCATGGAATTTGAACCCTGTAGTCCTGCTTTTCATGAGGAATAATGCTATTCCTGAATTTGTAAGTCTGAAATAACATTAGCATGGTCCCTGCTGTGCTGCTAATTTGAATTAATTTGCCTCCAGGAGGTCTCCCACAGCTCTCCAGAATGCTTCCTAGGGCTCTGAGTCTGAGGTAGCGCATCTACATTAATGGAGCCTGCCTCAGACTACCTCTGATTATTCCCTCTAGTGAGGACACAGAACTTCAAATTAGTGAAATCGGGTGCCCAGAAGTCAAACTTGGTAAATCTGAAATAATTGTCTCGTGTAGACATAGCCAAAGTGATCTTTCACAGTCATGGAATTTCAGCTCAGCTGCAATTCTGTTCCCCTCCAGTGACTTGATGCTGGCCGGTGCTGAGCACTCTGACCTTGATGATCCTACAAGGCAATTAAGCACATGCTTATTTGAAAGCATGTGAGCAATCTCACTGACTTCAAAAGGATTTCATTGGGGGAAGTTCATGTGTTTGCATGTAAGGCATGATTGTTAGTGCTTTGTTGGGAACAAGGCCAGAATGCTTAGCATTCTGCAATATAACATTGTTTTTGCAGAACTGTGAATGGTGGGCATCTTTAGATCTCAGGTGGTCCTCTCTTTAACACAGCAGCAGCTGGTGTAAACCATTCTGGAGAGTATCTCGAAACTAAAATTAACCCTTGCAAATGACTGAACAGACACAGAGCCATCTTTTTGGAGGAGGAAGTGACGGAGGGCATTGAGTGGGTTGGTGTGAGCAGGGGAACAAAAAAGCAGTAAGTCAGTATGTGATTTTGTGTTGGTGTCTTAGCCTAGGGCACAAATGTACCTAAGGCATGCCCTAGTTAAGAGCAATCCATTGATGACTTCTAAAAAAAAAAGTTCACTCAAAACCATGAAGAACTGAAGTGATGAATTGCACATATTCATCCTGCAGCTTTCTTTGAAGCTTTATGGATTGTCTTCCAGAGGTTCAAAAGTAATTTAAAGAATTTTACATATGTTTCGAGAACCACAGGCTCAGCATTAAAGCTCTGGTCAATACCACAAGTGCTTGCACTGAATTATAGAACTAAAAACACTTTGCAGTGGGTCACATCAGCACAAAGAAAGATGCCATTAATCTAACTGCCTTTTTGTTGTTGTGGTTGTTTTCCATATTGGTAATGAACTTTTAAGGAATAGTTTGTAACAGCTCATATATGACTACTGGAAGCTCTAGGTTAGGTGTTCATTTTCACATCCCATTAATCATCTTAAACACTAAATTATATGTAAATGTTCAGGCAATAAAAAAACCCTGCTATCCTGTGACATTCTTTAAATGGCATACAGTACACTTTAAAAAGCAGATTTTAATGTTCACTAAGATGGCTAATTAATTTACACGCTGAATTATTATTTGAAGATGGATATCACTGAAACTTTTTTCAAATGGATTTAAGCAAGATATGAATTTGGCTCCTAGAGCTAATGTGAAAGGATACTAAAAGTGCATAAATTATGCAACATTGAGGTGAATCTGATGGATTGAAGGGAAACAGTAGATTTTCAGCTCAATGTGGCTTCACCTCTACAGAGAGGAAAAGGAGGCACAACTAGGGATATACTTCATAATGAGTGTGTTAAATCACCAGGCATGCACTGTAAATACTGAACCCAATGACATATACATACCCAGAACATCCAAGGAATTTATTCTAGCTTTAAAATGGACAGAACCAGTATCTGCATTCTGGGATGGTTCTGCAAAATAATTTTTGCTACCCTTCCAAACCATTAGTCTAAATGTAATGAATTCCTTTCCATTGTTTTCACACCTCTCCCATGCAGAGTAACCAAGAAAGGAAGCAGAAATCTCAGGAACAGATAGAACACAGGCAACCAAGAGGATGAAGTCAGGGAGGGCTTGCACAGATGCCTTTGCTCAGTTGGCAATGTCAGAACTGGCCTCTGATGAATATAGATCAACAAGAAGATTTAACTGGAATAGCTCGGGTTCTTAACTCCACTTATTTTTGTTTTTTGGAAAATAAAATGAAAATGTGTATGCTTCATTTGAATCATTGTGCTCGTGTGGGAGTAGGCACAAGGGGTTTGGTATGCAGGCTGCCCTGGGGAGAGAGGACTACCCCAGCACTCTCTCACCACAGTGACTTGGAGCCTTGTAAGAAGTGCCAGTCCATGCCCGCTGCAGTGGGCACAGCCAGGGGAGGGATTCATGTCCCCTGGCTGTAGGGTTTCCAGGTGTCTGGTATTCACCCGCACAGTCTGGCATTTTTGCCTCCTGTCTGGTAAAAATATTCAGAGAATTCTGGACACCTGAGATGTCCGGTATTCTCTGAATTTTTCACCGGCAAGGAGGTGAAAATGCAGGGCACCTGGCAACCCTACAAACACTCAGCACCCGCCCTCTCTTCCCTCCTGGTCCCCATTACCCTCAGCCTCCCGACCCCAGCCCCCATGCTTACCTGGTTCCGCAAAGCTGCTGGCACAAAATGGCTGTCAGCCAAAAGATCTAGGGTAAGCAATGCTTTTTTTTTTCTCTCTCTCTCAACAACTTTGGTCTCCCCCCCTCTTTTTCTCCCCTTCAACAGAATTTTTTCCCGGTGTTTTTTTTGGGGGGGGAGGGGGTTCAGTATTTTTGTTTCAACCATCTGGCAACCCTGTCTGGCTGGGGAAGATCCATATTTGTCTGATGTCCTGCGCTCCCCCGTCAGAGTGAAGAATAAAGTCAGCTGTGCACTTTTCCCTTGCTCCCTGACAAAGGGGAACAGTCTACAGTGGGAAAAGCAGAGCTTGTCAGCCCCCCTTGCCCTGCCTTAGGAGCACCTTGGGGTGGGAGGATTGGGGCTGGTGCAGTCCCTCTTTCACTTTCCAGGTGATTCGGTCTCTTTTCTGTATGATTTTCTAAGAAGCAGTCCTATTCCAGGCACATCCCATTTTCCTGGCACAACCAGGATCTTGTTTTAAGTTATGATAAGAGGAAGCTGTATACCAAATTTGGTGGCCCTATCTCATATCGTTTAGGAGGACTTCTTGAACTAACTGACAGACAGATACACAGACAAACTCTCTCAAAAGTCTAGTAGATTCCAAGGATGTATCTACACTTCAAACTGGGAATGTGGTTCCCAGTTTGGGAATACATACTCATATGAATTGTGATTGAGCCAGGGCTCCAAAAATTAGATTGTAGCAATGGCAGTGTGAGTGATTGGAGAGGCCAGCCACCAACACATGCCTATGGTCTTGGACAGGTACGTACTTGGGGCTGCTAACCTTTTCTGACATTCATGCCGGCACAGCTACTCTATTTTTAGAGTGTGTCTTTGAGTTAGGAGTCACACCCCAACTCCCAAGTGTAGACATACCCTAAGTGACCAGTTTCTGGTCCAGTTTCTCACATGGAATGCTAACAAAATTACATGAATCCTTATTGCAGGAGGCTACAAACAGATTTCTAGGCCTAATCTCCAACAGGACCAATTTAGGCTATTCTTTTAGCATCAATATTCGAGAATGGAGATGTATTCTTCTGTCTGGATTTTGTATTGAAATGTATGTATTCCTTTGCCACACACTGCATAAGTGAGATTTCCTCCCTTGCTTCTGAATGGGAAGGATTAGTAGGACACTACAAGAAATAGAGACACAGTCTATCTAAATAAGCTAAGATATTGTCTCTTGGATTATCGTTCAAGCTGTTTTCTCCACTGTGCATTATTTGGTGTGGTGACACTTTATACATTATTAAGTAATTTATTCTCATTCAGAAGTCTGCAGTACTTAAATGGAAATAAACCCCTCATAGTATCATAGGTACTTATATAAGAAGAATAAGAACCTCTATTTAATCTAGTTCTGCTAGGATCAATATTGCATTAGTTCAGTAGGTTAAGGCTTACATGTTGTGTAAGAAAATTCAATACCTCTTTGTATCATGTTTTGCAAAGCTTTTGGCTCCTGAATTTACACAGCTAGCAAAGAGAATAGCACTGTGATAACCAGAGGCGATATTCAAAAGAATGAAATGCAGAATTACAAGTATGTTTTAAAAATTATAAGCCAGTGAGTCATGGTGAATCTTATAAATATGAGTCTGCTTTAAACAAAGTTCTCTTCTGTTTGCCATTTCAAAGGGTCCTTCCCTGCAGGAAATGGGGGAGGGGGAGAAACTCTTGAGTGCCAAAGCATGGAGGCCACATATCTCCTATTCTCTTGTAGTCTTCAACAAAGTCAGTGGCTATAATGATCAAAGACCATAGAGGGAAGAAGATAGGTCACAGCTGTTTGCCCATCCAAGCAAAATAAAAAGACAATGAAGGGTCAGGCTGTATCCAGACTGAAGAGATGTTTTTAAAGGATAGTACTGCTAGTGCTCCAGAAGAACAACTTTCTCATATCAAATAATAAGATCATAAGTGGGTTCATGGTTTCTAGGGCAGGAAATAATCCAACATACATCTTCTGCAGCGTGTTCCATTACATCTATACATCCTGAGCAGCCAGGGTGAAAAAGAGAGTTGAGTTGGCTGGTGACTATTATTTTAAATGTGATGCAATTGCCTAGGCAACTGGAAGTTGATGCTATAAAAGATTGTGCAGTTGGGGGAGGTGGGAATCTACATTAGCAGAAAGCTCTACATCATCTAAGCTGCTTCCTTCTGGCAGTACTGGCCTAGTAGAGAAATGTGGCAGGTATTGGAGGTTATTCCAAGTTGCAACTGTTTTATTTGCTGGCAAAAACCAGTAAGTTTCTAGAGAAAGTATGTTAGCTGTTGTTTTCCCTTGCATATTTAATGATTAAGCTTTGTAAATTTGTTAGGTTTTAAACTGAAAACTAACCAGGCTTCAAACAATGTTGATATGGCAGTGTGGTAGTTTAGCTCTGTAAGGGCATGCCTACTCTAGGAAATTATTTCAAAATAACTTATTTTGAAATAATAACTCCTGAAATAACTATTTCAAAATAAGTGTTATTTCTCATGGAAAGCAGGAGTTATTATTTCAAAATAACCAGACCCTAATTTTGAAATAACGGGCTTGATAGTGTGGACACTCTGCTTGTAATTTAGAAATAAGGCTAAGGGTGAAGATGTTGGTTTTATGGCTTACCAGTATTATAGCTAAGTTTTTGCACAACCTCTAGTACTGTATACATTCAGTGTTAGTTAGCAGAGATTTATTGCTGTTTAGCAGTTTAAGGCTTTATCCAAAAGGGATGCACAAGCATAGCAAGGCCTTATATGTTGGCTGTGCAGTCACCAAATTAGTCAGGGGGGGAGGAGGAGCAATGGAAATCATTGCACTGAACAAGCCAAACAGAAAAGTATCAGGATTTGTTCTTTAGCTTTCAGACTGTAGTGAATATCTCTAAGGCTATGTCTACACTTGCAGCCTAATTCGAACTAGGGCTGCAAATGTAGGCATTCGGAATTGCAAATCAAGCCCGAGTTTTAAACATCCTGCGCTTGATTTGCATCTTCCTGGCCGGGGGCCATTTTTTTAAAAAATTTACAAGCCCAAAGTAACTGACCGCGTCTACATGTGGTAGTGAAACGGGTGTTCAAAATAAAGTCCTAGTTTGAGCTACCTGTTATTCCTCCTGCAATGAGGTTTAACAGGTAGTTCGAACTAGGGCTTTATTTCGAACGCCCGTTTCACTGCCGCGGGCAGTTACTTCGGACTTGTAAATTTCAAAAATGGCGCCTGGCCGGGAAGATGCAAATCAAGCATGGGATATTTAAATCCCAGGCTTGATTTGCAATTCCAAATGCCTACATTTGCAGCCCTAGTTCGAATTAGGCTGCAAGTGTAGACATTACACTTAGGAATTCAAAAGCAAGAGGTAAGGAAAATGTTCAGCCTTTTTTTTCCCCTTACAAGTGTTTGAGTGAAAAGGAGAAAGAATCTGCTAGAAGCTGTTGAAAGCTCAAACAGGAAGGGACAAAGGTCACTCATTGATCACTATGTAACTGAAGAGAAAAAAACATTTTTCTAAATTTACTGAAAAACTAATGACAGGTTGCCTTTAAAACTGGGGCAATAAGTACCTGATTCTCCAGGTGGCTGAATGGACTCAGCTCCCTTTACTTCAGTAGAAATGGAGGTTTTTCAGCATCTTGTAGGCTGTGTGTGCAGACTGGGTCACTTATATAGATGCTTTAATTACCGCAGAAAATATTTCTGTTTCTTTGTGTGTGTAATTTTGTCCATCATTGCCCATGACAGACCACTTTAAAAACTATACTTTTTGAAAATTTAGCCTATATTTAGCTTTCTTTTTTATCTGGAACATTGTATAAGTGAGATTATTATGGAAGGGTGAGCAATTTACAGCTTGTTACTAAGCTATTGGGGAGATAGTAAATTTAAACTGTTGCAGGGACTCCCTGCTTCCTGGTGAGGGATCTCTTTGCTGGAAAATTGTATTGACACTTACTGTTATAGGAGGAAAAGTAGTGAACTATTATGTTTTGTTTCTTTTCAGTTGGCCCCCATATAGGGCGGTATTGTGGACAAAATACACCAGGCCGAGTGCGCTCTTCCACTGGCATCCTTTCAATGGTTTTTTATACCGACAGTGCAATAGCAAAAGAGGGATTCTCAGCAAACTACAGCATCTTACAGAGCAGTTTCTCAGAAGGTCAGTATCTCTCTATCCTGCAGTGCCTTGTAAATATTTTCTTATGTCTTCTTGCACACTGAGTGTCATATGAAACATGAAAGAAGCTTTAAATTGGGATTTTTGGTTTTGGTTTTAAGCTGGTAACCTTTTAATATCAATGTAAGGAAAAGACACTTCCTCATGGTTTTATTTTTAACAAATTCAGGAAGTCAGAAGAATTGTTAAAAATAACTGAGCTGGCAGAAGAAATCTGGGACTGAGGAATAGGGGAAGCATAAAGCATTGCACTGAAACAATGAAATATGAACAAGACCTGCACCCTTGCATTCTTCTTTTGTTACAAGAAAAAGGCTATGTCTATACTGCCACTTTTTATCAGAAAAAGGCACGCAAATTGCACTCCATAATTTGCATACCTTATTCCGATAGTTTTGTTGGAAGAGGCTTTTCCAAAATTTGGCCCATCTACACTGGGCCAAATTTTGGAAAACCTCCTCTTTTGGAAGAGCCCTTCTTTCTTATGGCACGAGGAAGACAGAGCTTCCAAAAGAGTGCATCTTCTCTTCTGCAAAAAATGTCAAAAGAGCAGACGCATTCCCTAGACATGGTGGAGTTTTTCCGGGATACCAGTGGTATCCTGGAAAAACCCCGTAGTCTAGACATCACCAGAGTGGACTTTGATGATTGAGTTTCTGGATGTAAAGGACTGTTTTACCATATATAGTCTTCCTCAAACCATACCATAAGCAATCTTTGGCATTGTTTTAAAATCTGTGACAGATTTCTCTGCCAAAAGTCAGATTTTTTTAATGTTTACCTTTCCAACATAATCTGAAACTTTTAATGGAGACCTTACAATACACCATGGTATTGTAGACTTCCTTGTTTAGGTTTAAACTTAAAACAATGGGACTCTTCAGGTTTTTGGCCTTTTTAAATAAAACACTCTCCTCTTTGTCCCAGGTAATGAAGTCCAAACATTCACCCAGAAAGAATATGTCATAGTAACACTCCCTCAAAGAAGAATCAAGAGTTATCTTACATAAGATGAAATTCTCTCCCCTCTGAATGTGAAATCTAAATAAATGGACCAAAAGGAAACCCCAACCTTCAGGGAAGATATAAAGTACCCTACTCCACCCCTTAGCCTGGAGCTGTGGCTACTACCCTTGTACATGCTGAATGTGGGATATTCTGGCCACTTGATGCATGTTGTTTTAGATTCATTGGTGTCTTACTAAGGTGTAACACATCTCTGTGCCTCTGCTCCATAGCCACTTTCTGTCTATAGAACCACTGTGTTGGAACCTTCTACTAGCATAGGTTAATTTCACCTTTAAAATACAGTTCAATCAAAATGTTAGGGCTTGTTTACATTTAAAATGCTACAGCAGCACCTTCTTAGTGCTTCAGTGAAGGTACCAGTTACACAATGTAGTCTTCTCCTGTCAGCATAAGTACTCCACTCCATTAGAGGTGGTAGTTAGGTTAACAGGAGAATTCTCCCATCACATTAGCTCTGTTGACACTGGGGGTCAGTTCAATTTAACTGAGTTGTTCAGAGAAGTGGATTTTTCATATCTCAGGGAAATGCAGTTATACCAAACTATTGGGGCACTGTTTCAGATTTTAGTGGGGTAAGGGCTGACCTGTGCATGCTGTGATGTGGGGGCGGAGAAGAGGGTGAGAGCATAAGCATGCTCAGTACAAGCCTAGCACCATCCCCATCCACCCTCCCACCTAAACACACACACCATCTCTATCCAGGGGCTATTAAGACACTGGAAAATTCTACTTTTTTGGCAGACAACTTAGCAGTTAGCTGACAGGAGCACTGTATCTAATTCCTATTTAAAAGAAAGACAATGAAATAAATATTAGACCCACTCACCCCAAACATTAACATATTCTGACAACTTATGGCAAGTCACTTAAGGCAGTGGTCTCCAACCTTTGTATACCCAAGATCACTTTTTAAATGACAGACCAAGCCGAGATCTACCGCCCCGCCCCTTCCTTGAAGCTCCACCCTCTCTATTCTCCTCCTCTCCATCACTTGCTATCCCCAATCCTTATACTGCTGCTTTAAAAAAAATTCTTCTGTAGGAAGAGGTTTTTCCAACATTTGGCCTGTCTAGACTGGACCAAATGTCAGAAAAAAAAACTTCTTTTGGAAGCCCCCTTATTCCTTGTGGAAAGAGGAATATAGGGGTGACCAAAAGAGCCTGTTTGCTCTTCCACTAAAAAAGCAGAAGAACAAACGCAACCCTGGATGCAGAAGAGTTTTTCTGGGATCTCTCCAGAATCCTGAAAAACTCCTGCAGTCTAGCTAGACCCTTGCTGTGTTGAGACAGGATGTGTAGTCTCTGGGGTGGGAATGAGGGATTTGGGTGTGGAAAGGGGTGAGGTGCAAGCTCTGGGAGGAAATCTGGATGCAGGAGGAGGTGGAGAAGGGGACACTGGCTTGGGGAGGAGACTCCAGGCTGGGCAGTGTTGGGATACTAAG